TTGTTGGTGATGTTAATTTGTACGGTTTTCCCTTCTTTGGGATTTGCTGCTATGAGACCATCAATTGTCTTGTGTTTTTGTTGGTGTAGCCAAATTCCTTGGGTTGGAGTTTTCCTTCTAGTATTTTGTATAGGGCTGTGTTTGTGGCTAGGTATTGGTGAAGTCTAGATTTGTCATGGAATATCTTGTTTTGTCCTTCTATGGGGATTGACAGTTTTGCTGGGTATAGTAGTCTGGGCTGGCATCCAGTCGCTTAATGTCTGCATAACTCTTGACCACAACCTTCTTTGTCTCCAAGGAGAAATCAGGTCTACCTCTATATGTTACTTGGCCTTTATCCTTTGCAGCTCTTAATATTCTTTCTTTACTCTGTATGTCTAGTGTCTTATTATGTGGCGAGAGGACTTTTTATTTGGTTCCAGTGTATTTGGTGTTCTGTAAGCTTCTTGTATCTTCATAGGCATATCTTTCCTTAAGTTAGGAAAGTTTTCTTCTATGATTTTGTTAAATACATTTTCTGTGCTTTTGAGTTGAACAACTTCTCCTTCTTCTATATCTATTATTCTTAGATTTGGCCTTTTCATGTTGTCCCATATTTCCTGAATATTTTGGGTTAAGTTCTTGTTAGATTTAATGTTTTCTTTAACTGATGGGTTTATTTCCTCTATAGTATCTTCAATGCCTTAGATTTTCTCTTCCACCTCTTGCATTCTGCTGTTCATGCTTGCTTTTGTGGTTCCGGATAATTTCTCATAATTTTTGTGGTTCTCATAATTTTTGTTTCTATAATTCCTTCAGTTGTGGTTTACGTTTTCTTTATTATCTCTATTTCAGTTTTCAAGTCTTGAATAGTTTCTTTCATATGTTTGATTTCTTTTTCTTGGTTTTAAGTGATTTGCTGATGTCTTCCAATTTTTTGTCTTTTCCTCCATTTCTTTAAGGGAATTTCTCATTTCCTCTTTTAGAGTTTCAAACATTCTCTTGCAGTTATTTTTTAGATCATTTTCTTCTGCTTCATCCATATTTGGTTGTTCAGGTCTTGCTGTTGTAGGATCATTAGGTTTTACTGGGGTTGTGTTGCTCTTTGTGATGTTGCATGTGTTCTTACCTTTTCTACTCATCTTTTTTTCTAATAGGTGTGGTTGGGGCTGTCTGAAATTCTGTTGAATAATCTTCTAGGTACCAATTAATCCAAAGCTCAGATGGTTGTTCCCCATGGTACAGTCAGTGTCACAGTTCTTATTACCCCGTTGGTTACTCCGTGTTCCTGGAGATAGCTCAGCACTTATGTGCTTTGCTGTGCACCCTTGGAATTTGCTGTCTCGGGCCAACTTTGACCTAGGTTGCTGGCTTTGCCCTGTTTCTGTAAATCCTGGTCTGGATCACCTCCTGCAGAAGTCCCTAGGTTGGATTTGGACCTGGAAAGGTTTCTGGTTCCAGTCTACTGCCTCAGATGTCCCAGGCTCTGGTGCAACCAGACCCGCAGAGGACCTGCTTACTCCCTCAGAGGTCTCAGACTTAATGCTCGGACCTCAGAGGTTCCAGGTTCCTGCCTATCCCCTTTGATGTCCCAGACCAATACCTGGACCCACAGAGGTCCTGGCCCAGGCCGACTCCCTCTGAGGTCCCAGACTCACGCCTGGCCCCACCCAGATCTCTGGTTCCTGCCTTTTTCCTCAGAAGTCCCAGGTTCACTCACGCCCAGACTGGCAGAGGTCCTGGCTCAGGCTAACTCCTGGCAGGTCTTAGACTCAGCCCAGACCTACCAGGGCCTGCTTAGGTCTACTCCCTTGAAGGTCCAAGATTCATGTCCGGACCCTCAGCAGTCTCTGGCTCACTCACTCAGCCTTTACTCCCCTGTACCTGTTCCGGTGGAGATAGGTGACTCTGAATCTGGTTGCTGGCTCAATTCTGATCAGCCAGTGTCCCAGGACTGGGTTGGCTCCTGGGACTGGATTTGCTCCTGGCTTCCTCTCCCAGTGGAGCTTGTTTCCTCAGGCCCTATCTGTTCTAGGTCGTTGCTTGACTTCTAATCCCAGCCCTTGAGAGGAGGATCTGTATGAGTTTCAGCCTTTCAGCCTGGTTTACACACCAAGTTCCTGACCAGCAAGAGCTACTAAGTGACATACTGCCTCAATAATAATATTAGCAATAATAAATAATAAACCTTTATAAGAAAAATTAGAAGGGCTGGAAATATGTCTAAATAGATAAATGCATTTTCAGAACAAGTCAGATGACCTGAGTTTGATCTTTGTAACCCCAAAAGTTCTCTGACCTCCAGATGTAGTGTGGCATGTATGTGACTGAATGCTATCCACATGCACACATACATATGTACACAATATGTACGTACATACATACATACATACATACATACATACATACAAAGCAGTTAATAGCTGAAATGTAGCTCAGTTGGTAGGAGTGCTTACCCAGTCTTGGGTCTGACTATGGTGGCACAAACCTCTGAACTTGACAGGAAGATGCTGGAGGGTGAGATGGATCAGGGCTAGCCACAGACAACAAATTCAAGGCCAACCTGGGTTACAAGAGACCCTGTCTAAAAATATCATCAACAACAGAAAGAATTGGGCTTAGTTTGAGATGCCTGTGACATGGCAGAGACAAGACAGGAAGGGAGCTAGGACAGAGAACCCAGTTCTGGACAGGGGAAGTCTTGTAGCTTGGAACATTTTCCCATCAGGTTTGAATGAGTCAGAAAATCCTTTTGTTGTTGTTTTGTCTGTGTGTGAGGGTTTTTTTGTTTTTTTTTTTTTTTTAGACAGGGCTCTGTAGACCAGGCTGGCCTTGAACACACAAGAGATCCACCTGCCTCTGCCTCCTGAGTGATTAAAGGTGTGTGCCCCCATCACTGCACAACCAACCATTCTCTTTTATTATCTTTTGAATCTTAATGCGTATCATCCCCCACTGCATGGAACCAGAAGCTCAAGCTTTCCAGGTTCATAGTTGGGAAGACAAACTGGGTCCCATATGACAGACGCCCTTACCCAAGATTAATTAGGAATTCAGTTGAGCCGTCTTACTGCCCTGAGACGTGTAATATGCCCTGCTCAGTAGCACCTGTCTCAGGCTGCAGCCAAAGTACGAGTTTGAGCTGGCCCCTTACACAGTCTGTTTTTTCTCTAAGACTTCTCTCTGGACCTTTGACCTGTCATTTTTTCCTGGATCATTTAAAAAGTAACACAAATAATGACTTGTCTCATGTAGGACATAAATCCTTTGAGCTCTGGACAGGAGAGATAGTGCATCTGTTAAAGAGGACCCGGGATTGATTCCCAGCATTGTTGTGTTCCTCAAAGATAAAAACATTCTATCCTGCAGGGGACATAAGTTGGGAGCGTAGCACCTAACCCCTTGCATCCATCCCAACCCCCAGGCCTAGGAGTTGTATTGGTCTGGACTCCAAATCCCAGCATGCCAGGCCCTGACCCCTCCCACGGGGTATTTAAGTGAGCTCCCAGAGGAGAAACTAGTGGTCTAGTTTTAAACTAGAGGTTAAGAGCACTCCCCAGTAATCACGTGGTGGCTCACTACTTTCTGTAATGAGATCTGGTGCCCTATTCTGGTGTGCAGGTATACATGCAGATAGAACACTGTATACATAATAACTAAATCAAAAAAAAAAGTTTGCCACAAATGGCTGCTTTTGAAGGGTAACATGGGATAGGGTAAGAAACAGGGACTTTATCTCCTGACCTTTGAAAAAATTTGTCAAAATTTAGCTATTACATATAAGTTTGTAGGCATGCCAATCTTTCCTTTTTCCTCTTGACCCTAATTAGTCTTGCTAATTAGCTAAAAGGTTAAAACAGCTTTTCAGTTTCTATTGTGCTGAGATCCATGAAACTTTTTAATTCTGATATAGAACCTCACCAATTTGTTGCAAAACTAAAAATTACTTTCAGCTTTTGATCTTTGTCTCTACCCTCTGAGGACTGGGATTGCAGGCCCATGAGCACTAGGGTGCTGGCTGGGGACTGATTAGCTCATACTAGGCAATCAGTCTACCAGCTTCATCTCCAGTCCTGACCTGGTGTTCGCTAAGACTAAGATGAGCCTTAAAGAAGTGAAACAAGCCAAGGTGTCTGTCTCACACAGTTTATTTAACAATAGGTAATAAGAAATCAAATTTAACAGTCTATACAGTGATCCAAAGTTTATATTTATAAGTAATCAACTTTAATTGCATGATTTACAACAGTTGAGGGTTTTGCTTTCTATTTTCAAGTTTTAGAGAAAATGTATGTGTGGGGGCAGAGTAAGGAAGAAAGCAAGCGAAGAAACCTCGGACATTTCCCTGTTAAAATCACCCCACTGGAGTCGTTTCTTACCCTCTTTTTAAATTTTTTCCTTTGTTAGATGTAAAAATAACAAAAAAAATCTCTCAAGAAACAGAACCACAATATTATAATACATCAATTTGGCAGCTGCTCCTGTATATTTTGAAAAAGTCATTTTATTTTTAACATGAACAAATTATCTTAATGCTTGAAGTTTTACATTCCAACTTAGAGAATAGAAAATCTTCTGGAGCATGCAAGTTGATTTGGGGGGGGGGGGAAGAGGAGGCTTTTTTAAAAAAATTAAAGATTAAACATCTTTGCACCCAGAGAAAAAATTGGTATTTTAATATATATATTAAATAACATTACCCTTTTTTATCTTCTGGTTTTAAAAATGTTCTTTTTTATCAGGAATGTACAAATGTCTTTATTCAAAAATACAAAATAAATTATCTGTAGGCATGGACAATGACAGCAGTAAACCATTATGTATTGTCAATGGGAACCAGTAACTGATGGTTATAGTGACCAGCAGCCTTCTCTTCATTCTCTTCAGGGGCTTCTCTGAAGGTATCAGTGAGGAACCTGCCCTGAGCTTCCTGTCACAGTTCATTGGTAAGGGCAAAGCGCTATTCTAGGAATTTGCCACCTCCCATTCCCCCTCCCATTCCCCCCATCGCGCCNTTTAAGTAACATTAACCCCTTTTGTCCTCTGGTTTTAGAAATGTTCTTTTTTTTTTTAAATTCTTCCATAAAGTGAGGAAAATAGGGAAAAATGTCAACCATCTGCACCAGTAAATAATAACTATTAATATTACATATTTTCATTAATTTAAAAAAAATAATAAAACCTATTGGAGGTGCAAGGCAGGAGCATATGGTTGGCTTCAGGCCTCAGTCGCCTCCCAGTGCACACTTGAACCACACACACAAGGGGAGAAAAACGGCTGGATTGACCAGCCATAACAAAAATATATTCTTTGTAATCTATCATCCCTCAGGCTCATCTGGCATGTTTGCTTAAACCACACACGGCTACTGCACAGTTTTTACATGTTCCAAGGAAAATTGTCTTTTAGGCTAAGAAAGATTCAAAAAAATTGTTTTCAGTACAAAAAGTCTTGTTAAGAGAAAATAATTTTTTTGCTCCCAAAATACTACAAGGTGTCTCTAGTGTATGTCTAGTGTACTCTGTGAGAGGTTTGAATTCAAGTCTGCATTATCGGTGCTCAGTCCCAGGTCCGTGGCGCTTGCACCGTGGAGGTTTGCCATGCCTGGATTGGTAGCGAGCTGTGAAAGCATTGAATTCTGGTCTGGGCTGGCAAAATGCCCTTGTTCCATGGGGTTGGCAGCCTGGGCAGCTACCAGGCCAGGATGTGGGGAACTGGTCTGTGGAGAAACATGGTGTGGAGAGGGCTGAGGCTGCATCCTCGGAGATGGGCTGGAATGGGGGGGCTGAGACTGTGGTCGCGGAGAAGGGACAGGCTGGGGAGAACGCACTTGATTGGAGAGAGAATTAGGGATCTGCTGACCTTGCAGGTGTGGGGACTGTGCCTGATTTGGGAGCATATGCTGCTGTGGACTCATTGGGTTGGGCTGAGCAGGAGATCCCATCTGTTGCTGAAGAAGTCTCTGCTGATACGCCTGCAGACTGGCTCCTGCCTCTGCTCCCAAAGCCTGGGGAAGCTGGCCCATCTGTCCCATATTCCCTTGCTGCATCTGTTGCATGTGATGCTGCATCCGCTGCTGCTGTTGCTGCTGTTGCTGTTGGGGTGGGTAGCCAATTCCTTGGGACTGCTGGAACTGGTTGTGGTTGGCCATTCCAGGGCCAATTCCGGGCCCTGCTCCCTGCTGTTGCATCATCTGACGTCTTAAGATGTCTCGGAACTGTGAAGGCATGGTGTTGTGATTCATGTTCATTTGCTGAGCTTGAGGACTCATTCCTCCCATGGGTGGCTGGAGCTGCTGCTGAGGCTGCTGCTGGGGCAAGCCAGCTCTCTGGACACCTACCTGCATAGGATTCATACCCTGCAAGGCTGGGTTGGAGTGAACACCTTGCTGACCAGGCATGGTAGGTGGTTGCAGTCCTGGCTGTCCCTGAGGCATGCCAGGCTGTCCAGGGAGAGGTTGTGAATTAGAGTTGGCATACTTGGCAGCCCGCTGCTTGATAAATGCAGCCAACAGTTGGGGGCTGGAGTGAAGGATACTAAGCACCTGTTGCTGCTGTAAGGGAGAACTGGGAGACCTGAGAGTCCGCAAAAGGTTTTGTAAGGCTTGTTGAGACACAGTGCCTGGTTTGAGAGGGCTCACACCTACTTGCCCCAATCCTGGCTGTTGAGGCATGTTCAACGGCTGACCATGCTGGGCCACTGACATCATTGCAGGCCTCTGCATCCCTGAAGGCATCTGCTGTGGCTGAGAAATTCCTCCTTGGGCCCAAGGTGACTGCTGTTGCATTCCTGTGGGACCCATTCCTGGATCCAAATGCCCACCAGGACCTCTGGCCATAGGAGGCGGGTTCATACCCATAGGAGTCATGGGCGTCATCTGGGGCATCTGGTGCTGGATCGGCCTTTGGAAAATTTGTACATGAGCCATCTGTCGTTGTGTCTCTGCTGCCCTCTGAATCTGCATTGCCATTTCTACTGCAGCAGGTGGAGGTCCTGGAAGGGGGGGTTGGGCAGTCTGAGGTGGGGTTGGTGGGGTCACCTGGCCTGCTGCCTTACCCTGGGACACAGGGCCAGTAGTTTGAGTCCTGGGCAAGTAGGGTGGCATGTTGTTGGGAGGCGTGGGCTGAGGTTGAGAAGTAGGTTGGGGCTGGGGTGTCTGTGGGGTGGCTGGCTGTTGGCCAGTAGGGGTGGTTGGAGTAGCAGGAGTTGGGGACGGCAGACCCTGCTGCTGCCCCGCCACACCAGTCCGTTGCATGCTGGCCATCCTCCTGCGGAGCATCTGAGCCTGCTGGAGCCGGTGCTGCAGCTGTTGCTGCCGGAGCTTTTGCTTGATGTTGAGGCAGAATGGCACCGGACATTTGTTCTCCTGGCAGTGCTTGGCATGGTAGCAGCAGAGGGCAATAAGCTGTTTGCAGATGGGGCATCCACCATTGGTTTTCCGTTTGCAGCCTTTGGTGTGCTGCACGACCCTCTTCATTTTCTGGCAGGAAGGCAGAGAACAGTTGGCATTGCGGCACTGGCACGCATGTACCAGAGACTGTATGCAGCGTTGGATGCTCAGGCGGCGAGAATCTCCTGGGCTCTGTGTGGCAGCTGCTTGCTGGTTGTTGCTCTCATCATCCAAGCCAAGACCTAGTTTCTCCATTTTGTGGTCATGGTTTTTAGTGTTATAACAGGTGATACACAGGTCATAATCCTGGAAGGGAAAACAAGATGAAGGTCAACTCTGCAAGACTGAAATAATTCGAAATCATTATATATATTTTGCTTGAGCTAGAAAAGCTCCTTTTATAAAAAGATAAAATCACTGGGCGGTGGCGGCACACGCCTTTAATCCCAACACTTGGGAGGCAGTTCTCTGTGAGTTCGAGGCCAGCCTGGTCTACAAGAGCTAGTTGTTCCAGGACAGGCTCCAAAGTTACAGAGAAATTCTGTCTCAGAAAACCAAAAAAGGTAAAAACCATTCTCTTCAGCTCTGTCACTTCCCACAAGAGCACTTTTTTTTTTGTTTTAACCACGTCTATATCATAACTCAGACAATGGGGACCAATGTGTCCTGTCCTGTCCTGTCCTTCCCACAAAATAGCACCTACCTCACACACAGTGCAATGCCAGCGAGTCTCCACATGGTGCTTGCACTCGTTGCAGGTGTAGACAAATCGATCTTGACTCTGTGTATGGAGCTCCACCAGCATGCACATGGTAGACCACTGGGCTCTTCGGAGTGAAGAGAATTCCAGGTGTTTATCCCTTGCTAGAGTGAGGAATGCATCTCTACCATCCATCAAGTCACAAGGGATGAGAGGGTCAGGATCAACAATGGGAGGCAGAGAGTTGGGTGCAGGACAAGCGATGAGGCGGATTACAAAGAAGACCTGCCAAGAGACAAGCTCATTGTGACTCTGGAACTACAATACCACTGCAGCAAAAAGGCACCAGACAGGGCCATAACAGAAGAGTGGGTTCAGGGGTTAAATGACAGTCATACTTGCCCTATCCCTGTTCACTGAGACTTGAGTATAATAAAGAACCTAAAACTCAAGCCAGATGGTGAAGGCGCATACCTTTACTCCCAGCACTCAGGAGGCAGAGGCAGGTGGATCTGAGTTTAGAGGTCAGCTTGGTCTACAAAGAGTTACAGGATAGCCTGGACTGTTATACGGAGAAACCGTATCTCAAAATACAAACAAAAACCAAACCAAAAAAACCCTTAAAGCTAATATTCTGTTACTTCATTTCAGTATTATCTTCAAAGTAGGAACAGTCTAGGGCTGGGTGTGGTTGACACAGACAGACCTTTAATCCCAGCACTCTGAAGTCAGAATCAGGTGCTTTCTGTGAGTTTGACACATATCTGGTCTACAAAATTAGAACAAAATTAAAGGCTAGGCTCACAACCAAAAATAACAAAACAAAACAAACAACAGACTAGCTCAAGGACAGCACACATACAGTGAATAGTATACCTTAAGATGGGGTCTGTGGTTTAACCTGAATCTAACTACAGAAAAGCATCAACTCAAATATTTTTTTAAAAGATTTCTTTATTTTTATTATGTATACAACATTCTGCCTCCATGTATGCCCGCACGCCAGAGGAGGGCGCCAGATCTCAGTACCGATGGTTGTGAACCACCATGTGGTTGCTGGGAATTGAACTCAGGACCTCTGGAAGAGCAGCCAGTGCTCTTAGCCTCTGAGCCATCTCTCCAGCCCTCAACTCAAATATTAATGGAGATATTCTGCAAGACCCTGCCCTGAACTAACCAACAAAAACGCCCATGGCATGAAAAAAGGCCGAGACCACTGCAAAGACGTGGCAACTCAACACAATTAAAATCAGTTTGGACGTTTTTCTTAGAAGGTACTTGCTAAATAAAGTACAGAGAACAAATAAAAAGAAAATGGCACAGAAAGCCTACAAAGCTTTTTAAGTTACCAATTTAAAATATTTATGTGCATCAGTACTTTGCCTGAATGTATGTTGGATGAACCACTGGTGTGCCTTATATCCAGGGTCAGAAGATTAACGGCCATGCCTCACCCTGTCCTCTACTATAGGCTAGTTCTGGAGAGACTGAAAGTCTGTATAAGTTAGCATAAAGACCTACACTATACTACAACAGGCATTTTTGCTTCTGCTATCCTATTGCAAAGGCCAAGTCATGAACTTGTAATACACACCCATAGCCTGAGATTCTAGCTCCTAAGATTAGACAGTGTAAGTCAAATCAATTACCATTAGTTAGCTTTCTCAGATAGTACTTTACCCTCAAAATTGGTTCAGGCTATTAGTAGTATATTCTGATAGTGGCATCCATTAGAATGCAGTGGCATGGCTGAAGAGATGGCTATCACTCAAGCAGTTAAAACATTTTCTGTTTTACAACCAAAGTCTATACACATACTCTTTTCATCCCAGTAACCCCCCCTCTCAAGCCATTTCTGCCCTCCTCATTTTCAGTAACCTAGAGTTCTCATTACAGTGTCAGTTGGGGTGGGCACTCGCCTGCCACACACACACCTTTACCCTGAAGGCTGACTCTCACCTCTTTATGCTTTTCCATGGTGGCATACAGTTTCTGAGACAGGTCATTAGACACATTGGGCATACCAGGTTTCTTCTTATTGCCCCTACTCAGGCTGCTTTTGTTTTTGCTGGTTTTCTTGTTATTCTTCTTCTTAGCATTTTTGCTGTCTCCTTTTGTTACCTGTACGGCAGCACAAAGAACAAATGAAAATGTGAGGTTGCTAGGATGGATCTGGAAATAAGACTGAAGGTATAAGACTTTCCTTTCAAACAGGATATTACACTCTTAGCTAATACTTTTATTTCTCTAGAAGCTCATCGTCCACTCCTTTTTAATCGGGTTCTTTTTAACTCACAAGCTACTTGATGCTTAAATATTCTTTTATTTATTTAGCTGTATGAGTACTTATGTCACGTGTGTGTATAGGCACTTTCAGAGGCTCTTTGAAGCCAAAACTGGAGTTTAAGACAGTTATGAGCTTCCTGGGTTTGATGCAAGGAACAGAACAGAACAGAACTGGGATCCTCTGTAAGAGCAGCAAGTGCTCTTGAATAGAGTCACCTCTCCCAATTACCTCCTTCCTAGTAAAAACCCCAAGCTTCATTAAAGAAATGAAAACTTGTAAACGTTATCTAGAAAACTCCTATTTTGATGGCCAGTATTGACGCATGCCCTTAATCCCAGGACTTGGGAGGCAGAGGTGGGCAGTTCTGAGTTTAGTGAACCATGAAAGCCATGAAGCATGGAAGAGGGAATCAGCAAGCAGGCTTTGGTTTCCCCTTTCACCCGCAATCTATCAATGAATTGAACCAAAGGTTAAAACATTTTGGAGAGTGAGACAGTGGTGTCGTGGTCTTTTAATACTAGCACTTGGGGGGGGGGGGGGGTCAAAACCTGGTAGACTGAAAGAAATTAAAAAAAGAAACAGATTTGTGTCATGAAGTTCAGCTCAGTCTTAAACTGAACCTCCTGTCTCTATCTCCCAAATACTGAGATTACTGCCGTGCTTGGCTTAAGAGTCTTTTGTTTTGATTTTTTGATGCTAGAGATTAAACTTTATATAGGGCCCTTGCATGTATCTGTGTTTATGTGTGGAGGTAAGAGCAATATATGGGAGCCAGATCTCTGTTTCTGTTTCAACCATGTGGGTCCAAGGAGTGAACTCAGGGCTAAGTAGCTAAAGGCCTTTACTCAGAGCCATCTTACCTGTCCAAGCATTTTTTTGGACATGGTTTTGATACGTAGAACTCAGAAATATCTTTCTGTCTCTGCCTCTTGAATGTGAAAAAGTTGTGTATCACCACGCCAGTCAGCCCTGACTTAAGTTAAAACCCAGAACACTGTGTAAAAGTGATCAATAACTGAAGAAGGTACTAAGCCAGGTTCTACAAAACAGACAAGTTAAATGAGAATCTTATACTTTAAAAGGTTTCTTTAAAAAAAAAAAAAAAAAAAAGCAGGGAAAGGCTGTGTTGATACAATATCTCAGTGACAAAGAACCTGCTTAGTAGCAACATGGCAGCCTGGATGTGATCCTTAGCACTTCTAGAAAAATACAACAGAGAGGATATGCAGTCTACAAAGCTTATACCAGTCATAATTTGGCCAGTAAAAGTATTTTTGCTATATACTTTTTCAGGAGCTTCAGCGCCCAGGATACTACTAGTTAGAATTACAATGACCCTTTGTTCTAAGATAGGGTCAACTATTCAGCCAAGGTAGGCCTTGAACTATGTTGCCAAGGCTGACTTTGCATTCCCCGAGAGCTGAAAGTAAAATGTGTGCAGAAAACTAAGTTGAAAGTATAAACCCCTAGACAGGTAGTAGTAGCACATGCCTTTCATCACAACACTCTGGAGGCAGAGAAGTCTCTTGAGTTCAAGGCCAGCAAGGTTTACAAAGGACAGCCAGGGCTAATTGCTTACAGGGTCTTGAACACAAACAAAAACAGTGTAAACTCCTTTCTGTATTATCAGATTATCAAGGTAGACACTGCAGAGAGAAAAGGCCCTTACATCAGTACTCTCATTGCTGGTGTTCTCTTCCCTTTTTCTCTCTTCCTCTTCCTGTTCAAGTTCTTTAATGCTTTCTTCCAGAACATTGGGCCAGAAATCACCTTCAAAATAGGGTAACTCTTTTGCACTTGTTAATCGATCTTCAGTAGCTTGTTTTAAAATATCCTGTTTAAAACAAAAACAAAAAACCCAAGTAATTACAATCAGGAATTTCTAAGCTTTTTGTTTTTTCTTTCTTATAAATTATTCATTACATATATACAATGTTCTGTTTACACGTATGCTTGTACACTAGAAGAGGAAACCAGACCTCATTTTAGATGGCTGAGAGTCACCATGTGGTTGCTGGAAATTGAACTCAGGACCTCTGGAAGAACAGCTTTTATTGTACGACAAAAATGGCAAAGTTCTCTAGGGAACATGCCAGACAAACAATGAGAACGCATTTTAAATTATACCAATATACTTCCTTCTTTGAGACAGGGACTCACTATGTACCAGTGGCTGGCCTGGACCCCATTATGTAGAACAGACTGGCCTCAGAACTCACAGAGATCCACCTACTTCAGGCTCTTAAGTGCTAGGATTAAGGGCGTGCATCACCATGCTGAGTTCTTTGCTTTTTTCCCCCAGTTCTTTTAGAGACAAGGTGTCACTACATAGTCCAGGATGGCTGGAATTCCCTACATAGATGAGCCTGGCACATGCCTTTAATCCCAGCACTCGGGAGGCAGAGAAAGGCAGATCTCTGTGAGTTCGAGCCCAGCCTGGTCTATAAGAGTTGGTTTCATGACAGGCTCCAAAGTTACATAGAAATCCTATCTCAAAGAAAAAAAAAAAAGGAGATACACACACACACATACACACTTCAATGAAATAAAAATAAATTAATAAATTAGCATAATTATAGCAATCACATGTTATAAGTCAGAACAGAAGACTTGTCAGAGAGGACAGAAAATAGCAAGAATATTATTTCCAAGTTCAAACTGACCTTATAGTCGTGGACAATACGTTCTGATACAGCCTTGTCAAGCATCTTTTTGTACCATTCCTGTAGGCGCTTTGGCTTTGGGATCTTCTGATCAGGAGGGTGACAATGGAAGATATAGTCATCCCCTTCACTAGGTGGACATGCCCAAATATGCCCTGTTGTATATCTAAAAACATGAAGATATGGAATATAATGATAAATGATATCAAGAAGATATCATTTGTGCTAGAGAAAGTTATAAGTAGTCGAAGCCATAGGTGCATACCACTGCACACAAGCAGTGATACATTTTAAACCACAGGGTGAAACACAGACAGAAATGCTTATTTCCTCAAGAAGACCAAAGCCCAGATCCAAATTCTTAGGCCAGAAGTAGGTCTAACCTAAGCACTAACAGTTCTTGTACTACCTACTTGTTTTGAAAGGCCAAGGAGTGCTGTGAATTTCATTTAAAAAGGCCGACTTAGTTCTTGATCCTAAAATCTGTACTTTAAGATCAAAAGACAACTATATTGCAAAGGAATAGGAACCCATCATAACAGAAATTACATGCAAGATAAACTGCTAGGAGTAATCTCCTATGAGTAAGATGGTAGTCTCTAGGATTTATGTACCTTCAGATCTTAACTTATGAATGAACTTGAACTTCCAAGCTCCAAGCCTCCCTCCCATGTGCTGAAACTGTAAGTGCAAACCAACACATTCAACTTGTTTCCAGTCTTTACACCGAAGTACAAAAGGATCAAAGGAAATGTTCATTTTCATAAGTAATGAACAACTTTTCCCCCCACAATTTTATTTATGTACATTGGTGTGAGAGTGTCAGATCTCCTAGAACTGTTGTGAGTTACCACATGGGTGCTGAAAAATGAACCCAAGTCCTCTGGAAGAGCAGCCAATGCTCTTAAACTGTTGAGCCAGCTCTCAAGTCAATATCAATAACTTAATGCAAACTGTAAACACAATGGTTTAACTCAACAGAATGGAACTAAAGGATTAGTGAAGTAGGAAACAGGTAACATCAGATTCATATCAGAGATCTAACAAGTCATGGCTTCACTATATCACAACAAACATGAGAAAGCCAAATACATACTTACACATTTCCACGTTATTTTTAAAAGATAGTAATTATTATATGCTTACCCCAATTTCTTGACATATTCTAAATATCCAATTAGAATTTCATGATAGACTGCGGTCCTCAAGCATTTAGGACGGAAGAAATGAACGCTATCGAGGTAAGATATGTATACTCTCCTATATCAAAAACAGGGAGAGAAAAATCTCTATCACTTACTAAGTTATTATTTACATGGCTAAAAACATCTACTTCCTTTCCTGTGCTGACTTTTATAAATGATCATAGGAAAATTAGAGATTGTGGCTTTGTGGGGACCAGACTTGGCAATGGCATCCATGTAATTTTTACCTGGTACATGCTATACATATCAAGTTTCATTCAGTGTGCTTTTGTATTAGTTATAGTATGAACCCAATCTCCCTGCCATTCCCTGCCCAACAAAAAGAGAGGTTGGTCATAGTAAGTCAGTCCTACCTTTGGTTGGGTGGGGGGCAGTCAGAGCCATACTCTTGAACATGCATGCCAAAGAAACATAAATCAACACCATCGATTTCTTCAAAGGCAAAAAGGGCCTTAGTTCGGTATGGAAAAGATTCTGCCATCTCTCCACTATCTACAAACCTACACATATCAGATTGAAAGAAAACCACAAATTATTCAGGTAGAAATTATCAACAGTAACTGAGAATGCACAACTGTAGCTCTTCAAGAGAAGAAATGAAAATTATTAAACACCTTGCTTTCATGCCTGGTTTCACCTCTACAGTTTTGTCAGAAGCATGAACAACCCTAACAGTGACCTCTCCTGATTCAGGATGATTTTGTCGCCTTAGGAAGTCATTCACTCGATTCTCCAGAAAGGTACCAAGTCTGGTAGGCGGCAATCCTAGGAATATAAAAGTTAAAAGTTACCAAGGTATAGCCCTGGGCTCAATTCCAAGTATTAGAAAGAAAATTACCATGGTTTAAATTTTTACTGTCGATTTTGAGGTGCATGTACAAACCTGAAGCATTGATTTGTTTTTCTAGACAGGATTCATTTGTGTAGCCCTAACTGTCCTGGACTCACACTCAGATTATCTGCCTGCCTCTGCCTCAGGAGTGTGGGGTTAAAGGCGTGTATCACCACTACATAATACAGTAAGGTAACTCTGATATCCTATCCCTAGGCACACAGGCTTACATAACAAATTACCTCTACAGTGGCAAAGGAGGGAAAACGAATACTCCTGCGACAATAACTCTAGTCAATCATTTTACACTTGGCCCACATTGTGACATGTGCCAGGACAAGAATAAATACAGGGAAAGGGGGAGGGGGGATGATTATTAACCAAAGTCCCTTCTAAAGGGTTTTTGTACTTCGAGACAGGGTTTTTCTATGTAACAGCCCACCAGGGTATCCTAGAACTCGCTCTATAGACCAGGCTGGCCTCGAACTCAAAGGGATCTGCCTGCCTCTGTCTCCAGTGCTGGGATTAAAGGTGCTGGGCCACCACCGCCTCATTAAAAGGTTCACTTTTATACTTCATTATGCTATAATGTGATTTTGGCTTAAAAAAATATTTTTCTTTTTTGAAAGAGGGTCTCACTACTTAGCCAAGATTTGCCTCAAACTCAGAGATCCGCCTGCTTCTAGAATACAGGGATTAACAAGTATGTGCTGTAACACTTGGAACATTTAAAACTAATTCATTTTGACCGGTTTCAATTTCACTAGTATTTAGGCAGCTGGGATTAAAGGCATGAACCACCACCACTTGGCTATATAATTTTTTTTAAACCAGGGTTTACCTCAAATAATAATACTTGGGGGCTGGAGTTGTAGCAGGAGGGGGCTGTGTCCCACTACCCGGCTAGCTTACTCCAGAAATAACCACAAAGAAATTGTATTAATTTAATTACTGCCTGGCCTATGAGATCTAGCCTCTTTTTGGCCTACTCTCACATCCTGATCTAACCCATTTTTGTTAATCTGTCACCACGAGGTGGTGGCTTACTGGAAAAGATTTAGCATATTTGACTTGGCAACTTTATGGTGGCTCTCTGTTTGTCTTTTTTCTCCCAGCATTTAGTTTGATTTTCCCAACTATCTAAGTTCTGCCCTATCAAAAGGCAAAGGTAGTTTCTTTATTTAACCAGTAAAAATAACACTAATATAAAAGGACTTCCTACACCAGGCTGGAGATATGTCTCAGGAGCCTAGCATCCACACGGCAGCTAACAACTGTCTGTTAACTCCAGTTCCAGGGGATGTGACACCTGCACACCAAAGTACATAAAATAAAATTAAATAATTTAAAATAATACTTACTTTTAGCAGAAAACTTGTTTTCTTTCCTAGCACGTGCAGTTTTCTTTAAACAGCCATCACAGACAAACCTAAAATGTAAAGTCGAAAATTACTTATATAACATAAAATTCAAGTACCATGCAACAAAAATCTATCAGTAAGCTTAAAACAACAACAACAACAACAAAAGCAACACCACCAACGTGGCACAAAAAATTCCTATATATAACAGTTAATGTAACCAGTATACAAACTGGGTTTTTTCTAGAAAGCAGGCTTTGCGTTCTAGTGGACAGAAGAGTTTATCCCAACTGGGAACGGGAGACAGGAAGACCAGGAGCAGCTCCTGGCCAGCCTGGGCTACAATGAAACAATCTCAAAAAAACCACCACTAACAAAAAAAAAATATGTGTGGGTTACTTGGGGACACCAGAAAAAGCCTTTGGATTCCTTGGAACAAAAGTTACTTGTAGTTGTGAGTTGCTGACTTGGGGGCTGAGAACTGAAATATGTTCTTCTCTAAGAGTTATATACTTTAAGCCTCATTAATATATTATCAATGATTGTCTTTTTTTTTCTGTTAACTTTATGTGCACTGAAACTTTATGTTCCGTTAACTTTATGAACATTGAAAATGTTCAATCCTCTAGAACTAGAGTTACGATGGTTGTGAGCTGTCATGTGGGTGCTAGGATTTGAACTCAGGTCCTCTGTAAGAGCAGCCAATACTCTTAACCATTAAGGCATCTCTCAGACCCCTCAGTGATTTTCTTTAACAAGTTGGTTGACCTTAAATTCTAATCGCAATCTATTTATTTATTTATTAAAGATTTCTGTCTCTTCCCCCCAGCCGCCTCCCCTTTCCCACCCCCTCTCCCAATCAAGTCCCCCTCCCTCGTCAGCCCAAAGAGCAATCAGGGTTCGCTGCCCTGTGGGAAGTCCGAGGACCACCCACCTCCATTCAGGTCTAGTAAGGTGAGCATCCAAACTGCCTAGGCTCCCACAAAGCCAATACATGCAGTAGGATCAAAAACCTATTGCCATTGTTCTTGAGGTCTCAGTAGTCCTCATTGTCCGCTATGTTCAGCGAGACCAGTTTTATCCCGGGCTTTTTCAGACCCAGGTCAGCTGGCCTTGGTGAGTTCCCGATAGAACATCCCCATTGTCTCAGTGTGTGGGTGCACCCCTCGCGGTCCTGAGTTCCTTGAGGCAGAGGCAGGCGGATCTCTGTGAGTTCGAGACCAGCCTACAGAGCTAGTTCCAGGACAGGCTTCAAAGCCACAGAGAAACCCTGTCTCGAAAAATCAAAAAAAAAAAAAAAAATTCTAATCGCAATCTTATCACGCATGTCTGTCTGTCTGTCTGTCTCTCTCATATTAGTATTTTGTCTGTATATATGTCCGTGTGAGGGTGTCAGATCTTTGGACTTAGGGACAGTAGCTGCCATGAGGGGTGTTGGGAATTGAACCTGGGTCCTCTGGAAGAACAGTCAGTGATCTTAACCACTGAGCCATCTCTCTAGCCTCTCAGGCATGTCTCTTAAACATGAATATTTAAGGACAAGTGACAGAAAATTGAAAGGTTACCACTGACAATCACTTATTGGCAATTTCAGATAAATTAAATTATCCTTTCCTTTCCTTTCATCCTCTTAGCTGTTATCAACAATTACTCTAATTGTTACACAGTGAGGAGATCCCATCCCCTACAATACAAACTTGACGCCTGACCTTGTTTTTCATGGGAAATAAACATCAGCTCCTCTCTAACAAAATAAGAGGAATCCTTTCTAAATGTCATTGGACATCCTATGAGTCTATACCATAGTACAGCTATGTAACTTAGTGGTCCCCCATTCCTACCCAAAGAGTCATTTAATATACCATTCCAAGTAGATGTTTCAAGAAGGAAGCATTCCTTGGCTTTTAGCAACAGCTGTACCCTTTTAAAATTAGTAGTATTTTAAAAATAATTTTCAGGTCTGGCAAATTTAGTTATAACCAACAGTGGCTTTAGTTTAGCATTCTTTTATGGAGACAGGTTTTTACTGTGTTGTTCAGATTATATATAAAATACACACAAACACACACAAGTAAAATGTGTATAGATTATTTGCTACCAAAGGCTGTCTAGCTATTACAGGTGTTTTGGATGTGCTTTATCCAGTTAGGCAGTGTCAGGACAGAACCCAGAGCCCAACTCTGTGGCAGAAATCCGCTATAACAGTAAGTCAGATTCTGATCCCAAAGAAAATACTTAGAAGACTGTAACTTTGTCCAGGTATGGTGATACACAGCTTTGATCCCAGCACTCGGGCCAGAAAAAAAGAAGGGAAAAGCCTGGTCTACATAGCATGTTCCGAGTTACTAAGAGCCACACAGTGAGACCCTAACTAGAACAAAATCAACCAATAATTTTGAACATTAATACAGTCATGGATAAGAATGTTCATGGGAAGTAAACAAAATACTTCTGGCCAATGTCCTAGGACTCACCCAGTTGGCCAGATGATCTCATGGTGAAGGACACAGATCTGATGCATCTTTCTTCCACATTCTGTACACTCAACAAACCTAGAAAAGAAAACAACCAATTCTCAGACTGATCTTGAATCATCTTCACCAAATGAAATCTTCAGTATCTCCCATCAATTCTAACAATTCAACAGACAACCAACTGTCATGCCAAAGAATTAAAAATTAGTTTAGTGGAGATTTTTGGCTTTAATGTTATAGGTAAAGCAAATTTCAAAATCATTAAAGCAATCATGTGTTAAACAATCTAAACTTCCAATCCAGAAGGAGAGTGAGAGAAGGTAACTGCTGAGAGAGTAGAGTCATCCCACCCCATTATCAGAGAAAATAGAAGGACCTGTGCTTTTTAAACTTTTCTTCCCCTAGATCTGAGGACGGAATACAAGGTCTTGTGTTTGCTAGCAAGCACTCTACCACTGAGCTAAATTCCAAACTCCAGGATCGTTCTCTGTATGCACTGGAAATGCAGAGAGGTGAAGAGTACAGCCCTGGGCAGGAGTAGTTTGATGCTTGAAAGGGAATAATGAGGGGCTGGAGAGATGGCTCAGTGGTTAAGAGCACTGACTGCTCTTCCCGAGGACCCAGGTTCAATTCCCAGCACCCACATGGCAGCTCACAACTGTCTGTAATTCCAGTTCCAGGGGATCTGACACCTTCACACCAATGCACATAAAATGAAGTTAAATAAACCATTAAAAAAAAAGGGGGCGGAACAATGAGTAACACTCACTGTAAGACTAATTAGCTTTAGCCCCTGAATGTTTCTTTTTTTTAAGCTACTTTTTTAAGAATATTTATTTATTTATGTGTTATGTATACAATATTCTGTCTATGTTTATGTCTGCAGGCCAGAAGAGGGCACAGATGGTTATGAGCCACTATGTGGTTGCCGGGAATTGAACTCAGGACCTTTGGAAGAGCAGGCAAAGCTCTTAACCACTGAGCCATCTCTCCAGCCCCCCTGAATGTTTCTTAAGTTCTTACTATTAACATTTATGGGATGTAAATATTAGCATAAGAATATAAAGTTATTTTGGAAAAAGGATGCAGAGTGTACTGACAATTCATGAGCAACTACTTACAGTTCAGGATCCAGTGTGTCATTTTTTCTCTTGGAAAACTGTTCTTTATTTATTGTACTAAGGAGAGAAAATGGACATAATAAGAAAAAATACACACAAAATTACTACTTGAACATATAGCAATCTGAATTATGTTGTATTTATTGGGTTATATAAATTCAGTTGTATATAAAGAACATTCTACAATACTTCATAATATCCCACCCTTGGGAAACAGGATCCTCCTATGTAGCACTGTCTGGCCTTGAGCTCACAAAGCTCCACAGGCCTCTGTGCCCCTCCTGTTGTCATATCTTGCTCTTCTCTTTTAAAGTCTGGTTCACTATACTATATACAGGATGCACTTTTTATGAACTGTTGATTCCATATTGTGAACATGGTTATAAACTATTTAAGAATAGTTTTAGTCAGGCACAGGGCTGCACATCTTAAATCCCAACACTCAGGAGGCAGAAGCTGGTGGATTTGTGAATTTGAGGCCAGCCTGGTCTATATAGTGAGTTCCAAGACAGCCAAAGGCATGTAGTTGAGAACCTGTCTTAAAAAACAAACAATAAAAAACAAGAATAGTTCTATTTAGAAGGATGAAGATGGAGAACTGCCTGGAGTTTGAGGCTAGTCTAGAATACAGAGTAAGATCATACACTCATCGCCACTTCAAAAAGAACACAGAATTAAACCAGTTGACAGGTACTGTCAACACCAGTGGTATGTACATCTAATCCCATGTTCATGGTTCAGAAGCAAAAGGGTCTCAAATTAGAAACCGACCTGGAATACATAGTAAGATAAAATAGGGGTGGAAGGGGGTAAAAAAGGCACTTCTCACTATTTGAGGTAGGTTTGGTTTTAGGACCCAGATAGTCAAGTCCTGTATTTTTAGGCAATGGTGAAAACAGAGGCTAAGTGCATACTTTAGGTTCCTACGGATATCTCATACTCAATATGAAGGACAAAAATCATTTAATTTCATAGTATTTATTTTCCATGTCTTCCCATATTGCCCTGGACATTTTGATACTATGGTTCTTTTTTCTTACTAACAATATCCATATTTAAGTACATCTTGCTGAAGAAAAAGGCTCAAGGTTCATTTGCCTTCCTAATGTCTTTAAGACCGTGATAAAAGACTCTAATACCAACAGCACCCAGAATGACATGGGAACTTTTTTAAAACTTCAATCTCATAGGCCCATTATAGACCTGAAGAACCAGGAAAGAAATTCAAAACTTTCTAACCTTAGAGCCTTACTGATTTAAAGCCACTCTGGTTCCAGGGGTAAAGTGTGCACTCCCCTGCCCATGGCAGGGAAATCCCACCCTAGTGTAAACTTCTCTGGTTCTGGTAAAAGTCAGAATGTCTCTAGGTTCTCAGTATCTGTTCTCTTACATTGGAACCTAGAGCCTACTACACTGTGTTTCAATAGTAACTGAAAGGAAAAGTTATTGTACAACATAAACTACAAAATTTAACAAAATTGTCTCAGAGGCTTTTTCACTAATACATTATCTGTTTTGCCCTGTAAGACACTATTTTTGTGGAATGCTTTCAACAGCTTCTTTATCACAGGTAAATATGAATGCTTGAAAAATTTTAACAATTTTGCCTCTTTGAAATATAACATTATGTTACAGACTAACAAATACTAGTTTAGTTGGCCAGTCAGGCCATGAGTTGAAAATTTTCTTGGCATTTATCAAACACTAAAAGCTCAGAAAACTACAAAGCCTCAGGAAAGCTTTAAAATTTTTATTAACTGGGCATTATGTTATCTGCAAGAGAAGGCATAAAAAACAGTATGAGTCCAACCTCCTTCAAATTCAATATACTTAATAAAAAAATGCTTTTGCACAAGCCTTTCCATTCTTAGAAGCCATATTTTTACAGAAAAAGTACTTTTATTAAGATCCATCCAGTGCTCAGATATTTCTAAGCTTAGCAACAGGTAATAGAACTTTGTTATGCCAACAGAATCTAGACTAATAAGCCAAGTATCCATAAATAAGTATAGGAACCACTATGTGAGAATGCAACTGAAAACCAATAATTTAATTTACCTTAAACTTAATTGTATTTAAAAAGTTGGCTATGACTGGTGGGATACAATGATGGAGGGACAACAGTCTAAGATCACTTAGAAATGCCTGAGAACAACCACCTGAGAATAGAGAATCAAAAGAGCATTTTCAAAATAATGTTACTTACGTTTGAGGCTGGGAAGGGTCATCCCCCAAAGAAACGCTCTCTCCTTGGATTTCATTGAAACACTTCTCACAGAAATGATACCTGTCGGCAAGAAGGCCATACTGGGGTGAACTGCTCAGTTCACACAACACAGCCCAAGCCAAGCAACGAAGCCACCAATCACAGCAGGCCAAGGAGGGGAACGGGAGCAGAGAGCAGGTCATCAACGGCGACAAGGACATTCAATGATGCGGATTTATGGGCCCCACAGTTTGGGTTTTTTGTTTGTTTTTTTTTTTTGTTTTTGTTTTTTTGTATTTTGTTTGCAATCAAAGCCAAGTGCAGACAACGACAAGCATGAGGGAGAAAAAAAAAACAAAACAAACGAAGAAATGAGGGATTGCAAGACAACAAAAAAACAAAAGCAAGACAGGACAACACAAAGCAGAAAGCCAAGGCAAAGCGCATATTAGCAATAAATATCTTAATGGGATCACAAATAGCAATGATTATAAGCAAATAAAAAAAAAAAAACACCTTTCACTTAGACCCATACTGCTTAATTTTACTACCCAGTGCCACTCAATACTTCTTTTAAAAAAAGCAATTAAACACCAAGATGTTAGCACTCAGGAGGCAGAGGCAGGTGGATTTCAGATAATTCCAGATCAGCATAAGCTATAAAGTGAGACCCTGTCTAAAAAATGAACATGAGAGAGAAAACTAAGAAAAAAAACAATTATAACCAGTGAGTGACATGTTTCAAAAGAAGTCTATTAAGGCATTATTTTTTAAACATCTCCTGATATAAGATGAACACTGTAGACTGCTATTCAAAATCCAAAAGTGAGTACGGTATGGTGGAGCAAGTCTTTAGTACAAGCACTCTGGAGGTGGACATAGGATGGTCTGAATTCCAAACAAACTAAAAAACATGGGAAAAAAATTCCAAAAGTGGTCTGTGTGTCAAGATTTGAACACGGGAAATATTCATATCAGCTGTTATCTTGCATCTTTAATAAAAGGTGATTGTATTGCAACATTTGACGATCCTTAGGTTTCAAGAAGTAAAAGGAACAAATCTAGACTCTCTATCTAGAAAGCACCATTAAATAAATAAAAACTAGAATTCTCAAACCTGGAAATGAATCTGTACCTCACAAGTTCAACCAAACAGGACACCAGTGTTGGCAGCATTAAACAAGCACAGAGCAGTCACTGATCACCCTTGCTGATCTGCTGCTGAGGGCCAGGAACAATCACTAGATGAACTCTAATGCAGGCCAATTACTACCAACAGACTCACGTGCAAGAGATGAATGAATACAACTTAGGCAAGAGAAAAGGCAGAGACGCTTTCTCATAGTTTTTCTCATAGTTCCGTTCTTTTTTCAGACAGGGTCTCATGTAATCTAGGCTGTGTTTATTTTTACTAATGTAGAAAGTCAAGGACAACTCAGAAGTGATCCCCCTAGCCCTGCCTCCTGTGTGCTTAGATTATAGATAGGCAGATTATAGATAGGCATGAACTATTGTACCCTGTTTATGAAGTGCTAGAGTCAAAACCAAGGTTTATTGCATGCTATGCAAGTGCTCTACTAATTAGCCACACCTCAATTCTGGGAGATTTCTTTCCTTCTTTTTAAATTTGCCTGATATAAACAAAAAAGTAAATATTTTGGAATACTTTTTATAAACAATTCAAAAATAAGAAATTAGGTACAAAAAGGTACACATAACTTGCAAAGCTTTTTTTTCTCTTTCTTTTTTTAAATTTGGTATGAGTCCTCTACTTGCATATATACCTGCATGAAAAGAAGACAGCAGATCCCATTATAAATGGTTGTGAACAACCATGTAGTTGCTGGGAATTGAACTCAGGACCTCTGTAACAGCCAGTATTCTTTATCACTGAGCCATCTCTCCAGCCCTAAAACTTTACTAGAAAATGCTTTAATTCTACAAACAGCAAAGAACAGAATTTATGCTATACAGATGTTTTCAAGCACATAATATATAAACCACAATGTGTGTGTGTGTGTGTGTGTGTGTGTGTGTGTGTGTATGTGTGTGTGCCAGTACATCTGGATTGCATTCACTTCATACACACGGACCATGGTCCACACAATCGTTGTGCTTACCTGTTCTGGTAACTATAATACGTAGCATCACGTGGGATTGTACACAACTGTTTGCCATAGCAGCACAGTGTCTGTGGAGAGAACTCCAACTGAAAAAAAAAAAAAAGTATACGTATATGTATATGTGTGTGTGTGTATATATATATTACAAGTCAAAATAGTCACAAAGGCCAATCAGAACAAGCCAATGTAAGGCACATCTCTACTCACAGTTAGGTAAATCACACTTAGCCTCTTTAGCTTATAAAAACCATCACAAATTTACTACACAATTTCACCAGGCTGATCAGGTGTATCTGCCTAGCACTATTTTCAGATACCTACAAGCAACATGTGGTGTGAAACTGAGAACATTAACATGCAGAAAACGTATCACATGTGGAACAAAGTGCTCCTATAGGTGAACACAATAAAGCACCAACTCAATAAGCTTAGTCTGATGATTATTAAATATTTTAGATGGGAACCTCTACCACATAATTTTCAGCTATGCAAAAAATATCTTCATAAAAAGCACATTCCACATAAGCAGCCATTATTGTGTGTGCAATAAACATACACGTTAAGAGAAAGAGCCTTGTTGGGATAGTAGGTAAAATGGTCCAATAATGTGTTTTAAAATCTCTAGCAACATGAGAAAAAGAAAAGAGGGACGGGAAATGAGAAGAGATGGAGAGACAGTATCAAAGTCAGAAACAGGATTTTTGTTGTTGTTGTTTCAGAAACAGGGTTTCTTTATGTAGCCCTGGCTGTTCTGGAACTCGCTCAGTAGACCAGGTTGGCGAACTCACAGAGATCTTCCTACCTTTGCCTTCAGAGTGCTAGGATATAAAAGTATATATCACTATCACCAAGCAATAAACAGGATATTTTTAACCCACATTACCACTAGATTCTAAGTACTCTAGAAGATAAATGCAGGTCTGAAAGCTACTTCTTACCTTTCTGCCACAACAATATCCAAGGCTTTGCATGACTGGGTCGATTTCTTGTTCAAACACCTCAGACAGTTTGGAGCAATATTTGTATACCCTTGAAGTTTTGCGATTATATAACCAGGCATTGTTGAACATAAGCCAAATGTCATCTATATATTGCCAGGGTTCTTGGTACTGTCCAGTATCTAACTTCCTCTTGATGGTAGAAAGATCCATGGGGCTCTTCACAATATCAAAGTAATCCTAGAAGTATAAGCAACACCGCATCACACACTCATAAGCAGAACATTTAGGGAAGTATCTTCCTATTTTCATCATCAATTTTCCACATAATGTTTGTTGTATATTGTATGTCTAATTCTGAAAAGTTGACTGAAGTCTGTCACTTCTTTAAAATATTCATCTATACATAAATGAAGAGGCTATGAGAAGATTCTCCAAATATAATATGTCAGGTCCAGATAGTTTGCCACATACATACAGTAAAACCAAGCATCTTTAAATTTTGAGTACTAAAAGGGGCCCACAAATCTCAGAGAATTCGTGTTCAAAACTGGAAATAACCAAATGCCTGTCAACTATACACACAGAAAATACAGTAGCAGCAACATAAGTGAATTATTAGATGATTCTATACTAAATGGCCTAATACTAAATCTCAACACCATAAAATCCAACCAATGCACCATCCCATGATGTTACATGAAAAGAAGAGGCACAAAGTAGTGTGTTTATACATTTCAACTTAAGGAAATAACCATAATAGAAGAATGCAGAGGAATTAGGTAGTCCTAAAATTAGAAAATTCAGACTGCTGTGACTAGTGATTTTAATTGATGTGGGTTTTGGGTGGGAGGTAATAAAAAAAAGAATTAACACTGTTGTGAAAATGCTAACTAAAACTTGTGTACTTTAAGCAGGGTACATTCTGTAGCATGTGAATCATATGTCAAATAAAGTTATTTCTTAATTTCAAAGGAAACACAAAAATGCCAAATACTTACAGGGATTCCTAGATGCTTTGGGTCTACAGGCTGACGAAAGGGAAGGGACTCTGGGTCCTGCCGGTAAAGTGCTTCCAATGTTGGCATCAGAGCCTGGCGTAATTCTTCTGGTTTGAAAACTTTAAGAACCATTTGAAATCAGTTATCAGTTAAGCAAAAGGAATTTAAAAATATGTGCAAGTTATATTTCTAAAAGTACCTTAAAAATCACAAAACACAAAATTGACGCTGTCCTCAGAGAAATTTCACTAAAGGGCTCACTTTCTGATTTTAATTCCTACTCTGCTTTAAAGCAATATGTCAAAACAACAGAGCTGCCATTACCCTCACTACCTCTGCTACTTTTCCAGCTGCAGATTTTTTTAATATTTATTTATTTATTTATTCATTCATTCATTCATTTATTTATTGTGTGTACAATATTCTGTGTGTACGCCTGCAGGCCAGAAGAGGGCACCAGACCTCATTACAGATAGTTGTGACCCTCCATATGGTTGCTGGGAATTGAACTCAGGACCTTTGGAAGAGCAGGCAATGCTCTTAACCGCTGAGCCATCTCTCCAAACCTCTCCAGCTGCAGCTTTATTGAAAACAAACTTTTCCAAACAGAAATAGAAGCAAAGACTCCTAAAAACACAGAAGAGACTTCTTAAAGTAATAGCCAAAAAAATGTCAATGTAAGAGAAGGAAGGGGCTCTGTCTAGCAGAACTGAAAATGTCCTCTCTCAGAGTGGTTAGCGAGCACATGGCTGCACTGCTAGCACTGGGCAAAGCAGGAAGGTCTTTGTGGTAAGGCTTGGATAGAAAGACATCATGGACAGTTTAAATTACATAGCAAGTCCTTGTTGAGAAATAAGATTGTAGACCAGAAGCGGGGCGAAGGTGGCACACACCTTTAATCCCAGCACTCGGGAGGCAGGGGCAGGCGGATCTCTGTGAGTTCGAGACTGGCCTGGTCTACAGAGCTAGTTCCAGGACAGGCTCCAAAAAAGCCAAAGAGAAACCCTGCCTCAAAATAAATAAATAAATAAATAAATAAATAAATAAACAAACAAACAAACAAACAAACAGGTATGTTTAGGCGGGCAGTGCGCCTTTAATCCCAGCACTGGGGAGGCAGAGGCAGGCGGATCTCTGTGAGTTCGAGGCCAGCCTGATCTACAAGAGCTAGTTCCAGGACAGGAACCAAAAGCTACGGAGAAACCCTGTCTCGGGAAAAAAAAAAAAAAAAAAAAGATTGTAGGCCAGAGTAGAACCATACAATGAAATCTAAACCAATCATGGAAGGGGGGCACACTTTTTATGGCACCAATATTTAATAATTCAGAACTGAGATCAGGTTTCTTACAATCGAAGGCACTGAGAAGTGGGTTTTTTTTTCCCTTTAAAGTGGATGATACTTTATAGAACTGAGGGGAAAGACATGTTATTAGATGATGCATATTTGACTCGAGTATTTGCATGGCCTACAAGGAATCCAAGTCTCAAAGAGGTTAAGAAACAAATGAAGTTCAATTGTTTTTAAATATTTAAAGTAATATTTCTCTTATGTGCATTTGTGTACCTGTGCATATATGCCAAGGAATTTTGTGAAAAACAAAGAACAATTTGTAGGAGTCATTATTCTCTTTCCAGTAAGGCTGCTGCACACAAGAGCCCACGAACATGTGTGTGCCTGTGTTTGGAGACCGAGGGTCAAACTTGGGTGGTTCAGAGGTCAATAACCTTGTTTTTGTTTTCATATTTTCTTTTTGATACTTCATCTTATATGTTGTTATGTTTGCCTATGGTTCTGTGAACTATGAGTGTGCATGTGCGTGCTGGAGCACTGACTGGTGTTTTGCTTGCAACTACGTTTGTGTGACGGAGTTGGATCCCTTCAAACTAGAGTTACAGGCAGTTTTGAACTACTGTGTGGTTGCTGGGAATTGAACCCAGGTCCTCTGGAAAAGCAGCCAGTGCTCTTAACCACTGAGCCATCTCTCCAGTCCCAGAACTCTGATCTCTCTCCACTCTCTACCCTCACCCTCTTCTGAAATAATATGTCCTACTAAGATCTGAACTCACTAGCCAGCAAGCTCCAGGTATTTCCCCACATCAACTTGTCCAGTGATCTGATTAAAAGTGTGCAACAACACTCAGCTATGAGACAAGGTTTCACTGCTGACTCAGTCTTGCCTGGAATTTGCTATGTAGTAAACAAGGCTGTGCTTGAATTCAGAGATTCATGTCCCTTTCCCTCCTAAGCACGGGGATCTACAGAGGTGATAAGGAAAAAGTACAGATCATCGTTTGTGGGGAAAGCATTTTACCAAATGAGTGATCTCTCCATCTTTAACTTACTCTTCTTCTTTGACTGTCCAGGAGCTGGGGAGGACTGTGTAGCAGAGGTACCTGGCTGGTCTTCCTCCTCTTTTATTTCAGTTTTTAACTCAGTGCCTCTCTCCTCTGTTTCTGTAGGTTCCACTTTACCATCTTCAGTTTTAGCCTAAAATATAAGGCAGGTTTTCAGGATTTCAAAGAACATCTGGTAACAAGACCATTACTCTCCATTATGAACATACATGAATTTCTTTTTATAGCAGAACCTAATTGCTCTAGTCTCACCTCCTGAGTATCTTCAGGTTGAGCATCTACTGGTTCAGGTTGATCCACCTCCATTTTAACCTCCATTTTTACTTCCTGTGAAGGTTGCTTCTCGGGAATAGTCTGAGAATTCACTTCTGTGCTACTAGTAGATGGAGGGTTTGATACCTGGCCTTCAATGCTTACAGCTGGCTGAGAAAGCTGGAGAGGAAAAAAGGAAAAGTATACACACATAAAAAGCTTGCCAATGATACAATCAGAATTTAAATTACATAGAACCTCTGAGGAGAGGATAAGAGGTAGAGGGATGGAACGAGAGGAAGGAAAAATGAATGAATGAATGAATGAATGAATGAATGAATGAGTAGGCAGATAGATAGATGATAGAGATAGACGGACAGATAAAATTACACAAGGCTAACCACTGGATCCATAACTATCCTTCCTCTTACTTGGATCATTTTAAACAGGACTTGCCAATGCTAGCTGCTTGGTTTTACTTGAAACAACTACGTTATTTTGAGCTTTGTTTTGTTAGTGTTTAGGGGTGGAAGTTCCAAAAATGATTATTTCAGAGAAGCTCACGGTTTTAAAAATGCCATTAGGGCCAGCTGGTGCTGTTACATGCCTTTAACCCCAGTACTCGGAGGCAGAGGCAAGCAGGTCTCTGTGAGTTCGAGGCCAGTCTGGTCTACAAGAGCTAGTTCTAGGACAGCTAGGACTGTTACACAGAGGCATCCTGGGAGGGGGGGGGGTGCATGGGACACGGATAGACACAACACATTTTGGACAATGTGATGTGGTGGCTGCGGTGTCAGTGTGTGTTATGTGTGTGAGTGAAGTCAATGGAATTACTCATAGGTTTTTAGTTTCATTTATCAGCCCTGAAACTTAAACTTAAGCTGTTTTTTTTTCTCCCCCTTCTTTTCCTTTTGCAAATTACATGTGTTAAATTAAGCAATGATAAATATCTACCCTCAGAGTCTTCAGGCCTCAGAACATCATATAGAACATAATGATCAGTTCAAAATTAACCAAAATCTTCTAGTTTTCTCTATGCTAAGTACTATCAAATGAAGGAAAAACAGGAAGTAAACACTAAATTCTATCTATGGACAAAATGACAAGGCATGACATAAAAGAGCAAGAAATGGTGCAGAAACACCACTGGAGCTTAACTTGTTCCACGGACACTCCAAGGTACATCTGCTTACCGGAGTTGAAGGCTGAGGAGGCAGCAATGGTGCTGTTGGGGTAGGAACAGATGCTGCTGTGCTCTGCTGGGAGCGAGGCTGTTGCTGGGACTGCTCAGCAGAAGGAGCAGAAGGAAGTGAAGGCTGAACTTGAGGGGTAAGATGTGTTGGTGGTGTAGGTGTCTGTCTAGATGGGGGATGTAGAGCTTGGGGCTGTGGCCCAGGTGGTATAGCAGGAGGTGTAGGAACAGGTGCTGGAATTGCTGTTGCTGGTGGTTGCTGAGGTCCCAGACTTGGGGGAGTATGATGAGGAGTAGGGGTACGACTAGGAACAGGAGAAGGCGAATTCTGATGAGCTGGTTGAGGCAGAGTTGAACAGTGAACATGACTCCCTTGAGACCCTGGAGGCATTATAGGAGAGTTCACAGGGCAGGAAGAACTGGACATTTGTGCCTGTTAAATTAAAAAAAATATATTTACAAAGTCAGGACATATGTTATTTAGGAAACAGTGTTTATTAACAAAGAATAATACCAAACTTCTTTATTTCTGAGATGTGGTCTCACTACGTAGATCTGGCTAGCCTTGAACTATCCACCTGCCTCAAAAAAGAGGAAAAAGGGGGTCTTCCAAAACCATACAGGGATAGAAATTAACAGTTTCTAAACCTCAGTGGATGTCACACTTATAAAAACTGGTATCAGCAGTATTTGCTATTTTAACCTGGAAACTTGAAGACCCCATTTAAGAGTAGAAGGAGAGCCAGGTGGTGGTGGCGTATGCATTTATTCCCAGCACTCTGGAGGCAGAGGCAGACAGATCTCTGTGAGTTCAAGAGCTAGTCCCAGGGTAGGATCCAAAGCTACAGAAAAAATCTGTCTCAAAACCCTCCTCCCCGAAAAAGGGGGGGGGGGGGAGAACAGACTATATGCTGTTAATCCTGTATGTGTGCCCTGTGGCATGCGTGCCTATACCTGCAAACATGCACACCAAAATAAATTAAATAGTAAAAACATACTTGAGACACTGGTGCTTGACCACTGGACGGAGTCAATGACATATTTGTTACATTCATTCCTTGAGATGGAAATTGCGTCTGGGAGAGGAACTGGTTCTGGCTGGAAGCCTGCTGCATTCGAGGTCCATAGCCCATAGGCTGAAGAAAAAAAACAAAAACAAAAAAAAATAAAATAATCCATAGAGTACCAAATGTTTCATTATAATTATCCTACTACTATAATTAGCAATTATTCTTGTTCTGCTATATAGATGTTTGAGTAGAGAAAGGGAAAAGGCAATAGTTTTGGGGAGGAGAAACATGAGAAGTGGAAGAACTAACCACTTAATTAGTCAAGAATAATAGGCGCATAACTACCAACAAATCCCTTAAGAAACAAGAATAAAGGACCAGACATTCTCTTGACAAACATATCTTAAACACTGACAAGAAAGAAGTAGCTTCCAGCTGGAGAGTGAATTAAAACAAATTTGTAAGCTCTTTGCTTTTACTCCTGGTGCTGTAACAGCAGAAACTTAAGACTACTAAAGGCTAAATAAAAGCAGGCAATCATCATCACCCTATCACTGGCGAATGTGGTGCTCATGACCTGTAGAGGTGCTAAAAACTGTTATACGTCCTTTCTATAATTGTTGCACATGAATCCAAACCTTTAGAAGAAATATGGAGAACAAAAGAAAAATGTAATTTAAAACTTGGGGCGGCAGGAGGATATATGAGTTCAAGACCAGTCTATTCTACAGAGCAAGTTACAGACAGCCAGAGCAGTTACACAGAGATATCCTGTCTCAAAAAGACTAAAGCAAAAGCAAACAAAAGATTACAAAAGGAGCAATAAGAAGACACTAGAAAGCAGCTGTTCCTTGCAAATCAAGTTCTCTGCTTAGAGGAGCAAAGACCTGCAGCAAAGTGTAAGAGCTACTGCTAAATGCTGGGCAGTGGTGATACACACCTTTAAGAGCAGCACTCACTAGGCAGAAGCTGGCAGATCTCTGTGAGTTCAAGGCCAGCCTGGTCTACAAAGTGAGTTCCAGAACAGCCATGGCTACACAGAGCATCCCTGTCTCGAAAACCAAAAAGCTGCTAAACACTGAAATGCCAAATATGGGATACTACCTGATTCTGTCAACATTTTAGTACTTGTCTTGTAAAAAAAAAAAAAACTCATCTTTCTCTCTCTCTCTCTCTCTCTCTCACACACACACACACACACACACACACACGCCTCTGCGAATGTATTCCACATATGCACATATGGAGATGCCTTCAGAGAAGAAAAGAACCCCTAGCTGGAGTTACATTACAGGCAGATGTAGGCTGCCCAACATGGGTCCAAGCAACTGAACCTAGGTCTTCCGGGAAAACCCCCAGATGTTCTTCTCCAGTACCATCTCAAGCCACATCTAGCTTAGTAATGTAACTTTTAGAAAAATTATGAAACTAATTTTGGGTATAAAACCTTAAGGGTTCAATAGATTATAATGCCATGTCATTCATCAAGAGATTTTTTTTCCCCTCCAAGATAGGCTGTCCTGGAACTTACTCTGTAGCCCAGGCTGGCCTCAGACTCACAGAGATCCGTCTGCCTCTGCCTCCTGAATGCCATTACTGATTAACAATCTACCTTGCCCCCACGTAATTTTTTAAAATTGCATTTATGTATGTATATATTTGTGTGCCAGAATGAACATAAGTGAGAGAACAACTTGCAAAGGTGGTTAGTTCTCTTTTTACCCTGGGGTTTGAACTTAGGTAGCATAGAATCGAGAAAATGTATCAACTGGGCTGTTGCATATTATGTGTAGTCCTGGCTGCTCTGGAAGTCACTCTTTAGACCATGCTGGCCTTGAACTTAAAATCTGCCAGCCTCTGCCTACTGAGTGCTGGGATTAAACACAAACTCCACCACCAGCTACAGGATTATCTCCACAACTGAAATTTCCATTTTAATGCTGTGGCATAATGCTCTTGTATGCTTTAAAGATTTGTAACTCATATTTAATAAAATGCTGACTGTCCAGTAGCCAAGCAGGAATTATAAGTGGGGCAACCAAACGCAGAGGAAACAAGATGAGAATGCTGCACTGACAAATACCAAGCCATGTGGCTAAACATAGATAAGAATTATGGGTTAAGTTGTAAGAGCTAGTTAATAACAAGCCTCAACTAAAAGGCAAAATTGTTTATAATTAATATAAGCCTCTGTATTGGGGGGGGGGGGGGCAAACAGCTATGGGACTGGATGGGCCAGAAACTTCCATGTATACCTTTGTTTTGTTTTTAAAATTTGAGGTATGTGTAAATCTGCATGTAGATGGATACTGGGTAGGTGCTCTGTTAATATCAGCGAGAAACTTCTCCCATATGCTTGGGCATTTGAACACTTTGGTCTCCAGCTAGTGACGCTATTTGGGGAAGATTATAAAATCTTCAGCACATACAGCATTGCTGAACAAAGTATGTCAGTATGCGTGGGCGGAGTTTATAGTTATATTGATCCCTTTTCAGTTTGACCACTCTGCTCCTTGTTTGTTGCTGAAACGTGATCTCGTGATCTCTCAGATTCCTACTCTTATTGCTAATTCTGGCTTGCCATTATGGCTATCTGGGCCCTGGAGTCATAAGCCAAAAAAAAACTATTCCTTAAGCTGCTTTTCCTCATCAAATTCTACCATAGGAACAGGATGGTACCTTCTGCACTTTCTTTCCACATCATTTCCTTTCTTTTTTTTTTAATCATCATATTAAAAAAATATCATATGGCTGTTTTCTCTTCATGTATATATGTGCACCTCATGCTGCCTAGAAGTCAGAAGAGGGTAACATTTCCCTTAGAACTGCAGTTATGGATGGTTATAAACCACCATATACAATGCTGGCACAACTAAACCTGAATGCCATGTAAGAAAAAGAAACTCTTATTAGCTAAGCAATGTCCCAGGCCCTCCATTTCATTTTAGAGACAGGGTCTCACATTGGATCCAGAGTTCACATTTTGGGCTCAGATAGGTAGCAACTGAGCTAGAGGCAATCTCCAGTTGTAGCACTGAAGTTTTAAGTGTATGCCACCATAGCCTGGCTTTTATGGGCTGCTAGGAATCTGGATGCAGTTTCTTATGCTTTTACATCATCTCCCCAGACTTTTCTGTGTGATTTTCAGGCAAAACAGAAAAACAAAAATAAATTGTGTTGTATCCTAATTTCTGCACTTTCAGATTTTGTGCTTAGCCCAGTGTGATAGCACACATACCTTTAATCCCAGCACCCTAGAAATGGAAAGAAACAAGAGGATTTCTGAGTTTGAAGTCAGGCTGGTCTACGAACAGAGATCTAGGACAGTTGGGGCTACATAGTAAAATTCTGTGTTGACATAAATTTTTAAAAAATTTATTCACAGATAATAGTGTTCTGCTTAGACAGATATGAACATTTTGGTTGTTTTGTTTTGTTTTTGAGGCGTAGCTTCTATGTGAACAGACCTGGCTGTCCTAGAATTCACTTTGAAGGCCAGGCGGACCTTGAACTCAGAGATTCGCCTGCCTCTGTGTTACACTGATGAACATTAGTGCTTTTGAAGTAATAACAAACAAAAAGATTATTTTTCCCCAAAGGTGTATAGGTAAAACTAACCGGATTTAATGCCCCAGACTGCGCCAGCTGTCCATGGTGCTGAAGAGGAGAGGGTTGCCGAGGTCCAATAGGGGGCTGTGGAATATTCATCTGACCAAACTGATTCAAACCTGTGAATACATGCAAAATATTAATTTCAGTACTCTTGATGAATTTATTAACAAGACATAAATTTTAATATGATTCTTCTCATTTGATGAGGAACAACAAAATAATAATGAAACACAACAGTCAAGCAAGGCCATTATTTGCCTGCAAGTATGTCTCTATGAGGATGCAAGGTCCCCTGGAAGTGAAATTACAGTGTGAGGTATCATATGGGTCCTGGGATTTGAACCAGTGTCCTCTGAACCAGCAGTCAGTATGAGATAGCCACTGTGCTCTCTCTCTCTCTCTAGCCTGGAGGAAAGGTTTTTGTTGTTGTTCTTTTTGGTTTGGTTTGTCGTCGTATACACACACACACACACACACACACACACACACACACACAGTTTCTCTGTAATCTTTTGGAGCCTGTACTGGAACTAGCTCTTATAGACCAGACTAGCCTCAAACTCAGAGATCCACCTGCCTCTGCCTCCCGAATGCTGGGATGCTGGGATTAAAGGCGTGTGCCACCACCACTCAGAAAGCAAGGGTATTATTGCTAATAGTTACTGAACTAAATTTTATACCATGTAGTAAATTACTACATTTTATCATTTTAAAATTTTGAAATAGTCTCACTCTATAGTGCTGGCTAGCCTGGAACTCAAGCTTGAACTAAAAACCATCCATTTAGCCCTGCCTCTCAAATGTTCACATGCAGCCAATAAATTGATGATGATTATATTGGGTATTTTTTTGAGACAGGGTTTCAGTATGAAGGTCTACCTAGCCTGAAATTCACCATCAAGTACTGACAAGAGTTCTATCAACTGGCCACTTACTCTATAGAGTACTGGGATTAAAGGTGAGAACTAATGCCTGGCAATGAATTGGTCTTAAATGGATGCTTGCTTATTTACTATGAACTACTTCCTGGAACTGTCAGCCAATCTGCTCCTCATTTTCCCCTCCTTGGTGGATTTCCAATACAAGGGATTTTCAAATTTCCAAAGCAGTTAATTATGGGGACTTGCTGATGAATTAAAGGAAGGTGAAGTGTCATTCTGTTTTACATCAGGGACTTTTACAATCAACTCTGTATAAATTTACCAGGTTGCGGAGGTATCCGAGGCATCATCTGGTTTGGCACGCTGCCACGGATCATAGCTGGATCAGGTAGAGGACCATCTGGAGGGGAAGGTAGAAAAAGTTAGATATCCCTTTGTTTCTTGAAAACAACAAAATCCCATCAAGTATTAATAATAGCTTAGAGAATCTCTAACCTCAATCTCAAAGATCAATGGTTTTAAATAGACAAATATTTTAATTAGACAAGAATATGAAGAAAGAGGCTCCATTAGGCCATTCATTTTGTGCCTCTTAAAATTTAAAATAAGAATAAAATATATTAATTTTGGTAATTCCTTAGATTCTCGTCCAAGTTTCAACAAGGTACACAGAGAGAAGAACAGTGTCACTGGGCAAGTAAGATGGCTTTGTGAACAAAGGTTCTTACTTTTGCACCTGGCAACCTGAGTCTGATAGCCAGGATCTACAAGGTGGAAGTACACACCTATAGTCCAGCACCTGAGAGGCAGAGGCAAGAAGATCTCTGAGCTCAAGGCCAGCCCAGTCTACAGGGCGAAAACCCTGTGTGGTGGTTTGAATGAGAATAGCCCTACAGGCTCATATGTGAATGCTTTGGCATTCAAAGAGTACAACTATTTGGAAAGGAGTAGGAAGTAGGACCTTGTTGTGATGTGCATGGTCTTGTTGAAGAACATAGGGGTAAACTTTAAGACTTCTCAAAAGTACATACATGCCCCTCTCCCGCTCACTCCAGTACCACAGGTTTGTTTCCCACCATGATGATCATGAACTAACCCTCTAAAACTGGTCATAGTGTACATCACAGCAATAGAGCACTAAGACAACCTTTACCAAAAAACAAACATTAACAAACAAAAAAAACCAAAACCCTTAAAAAACAGCAGCAACAAAAACCAACTAGCCAGGTGGTGGCGGCGCATACCTTTAATCCCAGCACTCGGGAGGCGGAGGCAGGCAGATCTCTGTGAGTTCGAGGCCAGCCTGGCCTATAAGAGCTAGTTCCAGGACAGGAACCAAAAACTACAGAGAAACCTTGTCTCAAAAAAATCAAAAAAAAAAAAAAAAAAAAAGTTTCTATTGAAACATCAATCTACCTGGTCTATCAATACGTACTGGGTACCTGTCATATGTAAGACAGGTGGATGGTGAAGAAAGCCAATGAAAACATGCAAGCTGCCATTTCTCGAGTGTTACAATTTCAAAGGCTCTCTTGGGCAGTGAAAATAATTGTAGATTATCAAGTTATATCAATTATCATACCTAGAAACCTAATAGTCCTCCCTCCAAGTTTTAAAAAGCAGATGTATTGCTTTCTTTATATTAAGTATAACAAAAAGTACTTACTAGTAGTCATTCCTGGCTGTTGCTGTCCCATGTTAGTCCCAGTATTCATAGAAACTGGAACCATGCCAGGAGCACTTGGTAGCATGTTTTGTTTCTGTAACCTAGTCCTCCGTTTCTCTTCTAGTTCTTTCTGGATCTTATAGATCTTCTCAGCTAGGAGATGGTAGTATTCCGCCTAGAAATAAAATTTGAGTAAAGATGAGAAAACAGAAATAGAATTAACAGAAAAACTGAACCATTTAAAGAGCAGACAAGAACTAAATTTGGCTGTAGAGGGAGAGGCTGCCCTACAAAGTGACAATCAGGGATACAGAGAAATCATTCTCAAAAAAAAAAAAAAAAAGACAAGAAATTATGAAGACTATAATGTATAAGTCATTAATAAATGAACTCAACTTGCAATAACATGTGATTAGCAATTTTACTATGAAGTTAAAAATTAAAGTGTAACTTCCATAAGTTTTTTATTTACAAAACACAAACTGGCATTTTATAGGGTACAGAAAGAATGACATATGTTTACTGCCTTCTTTGGTGTTGCCTGCATGTATGTCTGTGTGAGGTTGTCAGAAGCCCAGAAACTGGAGTTACAAACAGGTGTGAGCTGCCATGTGGGTGCTAGAAATTGAACCCAGGTCCTCTGGATGAGCAGCCAGTGTTCTTAACCCCTGCATTAAACATTAAATTTAATGCAGAGAAAACACTACTTGACAAAATACGTTCTATATAACTCAGCCCAGAACTATTAACAATAAGCTCCTTTCCTTATAAGAAAATGTAGGCCAGGCGGTGGTGGCACACACCTTTAATCCCAGCACAGGCCAAGGCGGAGGGCAAGTGGATCTCTGTGAGTTCAAGGCCAGCCTGGTCTAAAAGACCTAGTTCCAAGGGCAGGCTCCAAAGCTACAGAGGGAAAGAAAAAAGAAATAAAATATAAACTGAGCATGGTAGCACACACCTTTAATGCCAGCGCTAAGGAGGCAGAGGCAGTTGGATCTGAGTTTGAGGCCAGACCTACAGTTATTTCCAGGATAGTCAAGAAACTCTGTCATTCTTGTGTGTGTTTACATTAATGATTGAGAGACAGAGTCTAGAGGCTAAAGATAGATGGAATAATTTAAGAAAAGATGGCTACAAATTAGACAACCTAAGGCTGGATTTATAAGAAAAAAGTCTTCAAATGTGGTTTATTGAGGAGTTGGGTGGCAAAGAGCCAAAGAACAAAGAGCAAAAAGCAACCAACTACAATCAACCAGCCCACTTCAGAAAAGGAAGAAAGCTTCATGCTCACTCTATTGTTTGCAGATTCATACATGTCCCCTTCTACTTTACGAGCATATGCAACAAGGTTTTCCATCCGTCGGTCTTTTAAAGCAGCAGGATCCGGAGTGGGGAATATGGCTTGAACACTGGAACATAAAATGGTACCACTATAATGGCATGTCAGCTTTATATACATTCACCACAGAAATACACAATATTGTGAATACTGTGACGTTTTCCCTTATCAATACTGACATGGTTCATTCACAAAATATAAAATTATTTTTTTAAGTTGTTAATTCCATTAAGTCTCAACTCTATTTTATTTAGGGCTTTTTACCTGTATGTCTGCACGAGTGTGCAGTGCCCACAGAGGCCAGAAAATGGGATCATATACAGTAGGACTGGAGTTACAGACAGCTGTGAACTGCCATGTGGGTGAGCTGGTTTAGGTAGTTGACATAGCAACCAGTGCTCTTAAGTCACCTCTCCAGAGCCTAAATTACTATATTTTTCAAAATTTACCAACAGAACAATGTGTGTCTAATTTTGATCATGTTTTCCTTTTTTCTTTTTTTTTTTTCAGGGGGATGAGGGGGAAACCAGGGTTTCTCTGTATAGCACTGGCTGTCCTGGACCTCTGTAGACTAGGCAAGTCTTGTAATCTCAGAGATCAGCCTGCCTCTTACTCCCAAGTGCTGGAATTAAAAGCCTGTGCCACCTTACCTATCGAACAATTTTATTAAAGGAAGACTGGTGTTACAATCTAAAATAATATTAACTTTAAAAAATTAAGAATTTTTAAAAAGATTATGTATATACAGTGTTCTGCCTGCATGTCAGAAGAGGGCACCAGATCTCATTATAGATAGTTGTGGGACACCATTTAATTCCTGGAAACTGAACTCAGTAACCCTTGAGGAACAGCCAGTGTTCTTAACCTCTGAGCCATAGCCATCTCTCCAGCCCTAACTTAAAAGAGGTTTGGTAATCACAAAAAAAGCCACCCCATAAAAATACTTTCTGGAGGGCTAGAGAGCCACTTAGTGATTAAGAGCAGGTCCTGTTCTCTCATCAGCAGTATCAGGCAGTTCTAGTGTATCTCCCCATGCACTCGTACCCACATAGGATAAAACTCACACAAAGACATGCACATGAATAAAACTAAATACTCTCTGGTTTTTGTGATTCTACATAAAAGTTGTACTGTGCCACATAAACAGAGAAAACCTGACTTTTCTTCCAATATCATTTGTCTTTAAACATTTCTGTTCTTTTAAATTTACTTATCAAAACAAAACCAACAATTATTCAAAACTTTGTTACAACTTATAGAGAAGCAAAGAGATAGCTATTTTGTCATCATGGTTTCTAGCTCTAAACTTGGATGTGGTAGCCACAGCCTTTAATTTCAGTACTCAACAAGGCAGAGGTAAGAGGATCTCCAAGTTCAAGACCATCCTAGTTTGTATTGCCAGTTCCAAGACAGCTGGGATTAGAAAAAACCCTAACTCAAAATACAAATAAAGAGATTCCCACTGAACTATTTCTCAGTAAGGTATGTGGCAACCTCTAAAAATGTATGTGATACTAGCATAAGCTTGTATATGCATGTGTATAATTTCTGATACCCTTCTGCCACACTATCACACCTACTTCATGTCGTGGTGGCACTCACCCTAATCAAATATTCTGGCAGTAATTTTTTATTCAAATTGTTTAATTTATTGTTTGTGGTTTCAAAGCACACCTTCAGGAGTCAGTTTTCCCTTTCTACCATTTAAGTCCAAGGACGAACTTGAGAGCAAGAGTCTTTAGTCACTGAACCACCTAATGATCTCCAAGTAAACAAAAATTATTTAATATTTCTTAACACTAGGCAGGATAATTTATATGTTAATGATAAGACTTGTGAAATAACTTGAAGAAAAATGGAGAGGAAAGCAGAGAAAGATTAGATTTTGGAAACACTATTAACTCCACAACACTTAAGACTGACATGCCATCACTTTACTTACAGTTTATGAACAAGGTGGTTTCGAAGATCCTGAGTAATATCTTCATGCCACTGTTTCCGAATTCCGGTACTAGATGGCTGGGCTGCTGTTGGCAAAGGACCCAAGGAGGCCACACTGGCATTTTCACTCATCATTGGGCTTTGAAAATGAGTGGCAAATAGTTTTAGTATTGGAAACAGGCTTCACTTAACTAGAGACAACAGTAATTACTGCCATGAATGGTGACTGAGTATTTAAGAGGCATATGTATGAGACTACATGTTGTTTGTGTGTGACTCAGTTTCCTTATGAAGGACGAGGAGGAAGGAACTCTTGTATTTGAAAATCCAACTTGCGTCACCAGGCTGTTTTGCCATATGGACACACACTACCTTACACCAAGAACCTTGAACACTGGCTTAAAATAACATTAAAAAAACATATTCTTTGAAAACTTTATACACTTGCACATATATTCTGATAGTATCCGTCATTGAAGAATGGGATGGAGGGGTATAGTTTAACTCATTTAAATGCCAAATTAGGACAATTTCCTTCCTAAAAGTTATTTGTAAAAAAAAAAAAAAGGAAATAAAATAAAAAACTCAAGGAATTTTCAAGTATTTGAAGGGACTAAGGCACAAACTTACTTTTGAGAATTTATGGCCGAATGCAACATGGAATCAGAAAGAAGATTTGGAGTCTGAACCCCTACACCTCCATTTACACCCATGGGACTAGCACCTAAAGCAAAACAAAGCAAAGGAGGGAAAGAAAAAAAAAATAGTCACCATACAATGAATGCCTTAAACCAAGTGAAAAAAAATGTCAAATTAGAAAAAGAATTAGCACATACATTTAGCAAAGCAATTAACAACACAGAAAAATCGTATGGGGCAACCATACGAACCAGTAAGAAAAAGAGAGGCAGAGGAGCTGGGGGGAAAAAAGGCTCAATTGGCAGTGTTGCTACACTAGCATGAGGACCAGAATCCAGATCTCATGCACATACATAAAACACGAATTTGACGGTGCTCAAATGTAACCCTAGTACCAAAAGGGGTGGTCTCCAGACCTTACTGCTCAGCCAATCTAGTCAATGAGTGAGCTCCAGGTTAATCAAGAAGAGTCTCGCCAGGTGGTGGTGGCACGTGCCTTTAATCCCAAGGAGGCAGAGGCAAGCAGATCTCTGTGAGTCTGAACCCAGCTTAGCCTAGTGAGTGAGTTCCCGAACAGTCAAGAGATACAGAGAGAAACCCTATGCTGAAAAACCAAAGACAACTGATACAAAGCAAGGCTAGAGAGATAAGGCTCAATGTTAAGACCCCTAATGCTAAGAGACTCGCCAGTCTGGTTCCTAGCAGCCATTGTAAGATAGCTCACAAGAACCTGTAATATATATAACTCAAGATTCAACAGTTCTGACCACATTCACATGCACACATGGACGGACACACATATATACATATAATTAAAAATGCTAAAAGAAAAAAATAAACAGATTGGAAGACTATAAGAACACCCACATGGAAACTATAATCCAGAATACTGCCACCCCACTTCTGGCCTCTATGTGCATGTGATAAAATAATATAAAAGCAAACAAAATATACTCATACATAAAATGTAAGGAAAAGGGTAGGACTGAGAAAAGACTCGGGGGTTAAGAACACTCGCTTGGATGTTAGCATGATGGTATAAGCCTTCAGCATTACAGGCTGAAGCAGGTAGGTCTCTGAATTTAAGGCTGGATTGGTATAGTGAGTTCCACAACAGCCAGGGCTATGTAGATACCCTATCTCAAAGAAACAAAAACCAAACAACAAACAAAAACAACACTTGATCGTACTCTAGGAGACTCAAGTTTAGTTCCCAGCATCCCTGTCAGAAGCCTCAAAACTTCAATTCCATGGGAGACTCAACACCCCCTCCTGTACTCCCCTCCAGTCAGTACAAGTACATGTGCATACAGACACACACCAATACACATAATTTTTTTGTTTTGTTTGCAATGGGGTTTCTTTGTGTAACCTTGGTTGTACTGGATTGCTCTCTGTAGACCAGGATGGCCTCAAACTCAGAGATCCACCTGCCTCTGCCTCAAGTGCTGGGATTAAAGGTGTACAACATTGCCACCAAGGGAAAAAAAAATTAACTTTCTAAAAACAAGGTTGGCTAATCCAGGTGTGATGGTGCATGCCTTTAATGCCAGCACTTGGGAAGCAGAGGTAGGAGGATCTCTGAACTTGAGGCCAGCCTGGTCTATATAACAAACTCCAAGACAGCAGCTAGATCCCTTTCTCAAAAAGCAAACAACAGCAACAAAATCAACCAATTGGGGGGGGAGGGTAAACAAGAACATATAGGGTTGATCAATGAGATGGACTCAGTGGGTAAAGGTCCATGAGACACAAAGGATGTTATTTCTGGAAATTTAATCTCAAGTGTGAAAAGGAGAAACGTAACCAAAGTATCAAGTATTACTGTAATTTCTTTCAAAATTTTAAAGAAGTCCTTCTGCTATAATTTAAAATTATCTTAATTCCAAAGTTCATTTAGTAAAAAAAACAAAACAAAGGGAGACAACAAAGGTAGGGAGGCAAAGGGGAGAGGGAGCATGCCTACATTAATCTTCATTTATACACGATATTACATACTTAACCACATCACCTCTGAACTAGACAAGGAACTTACTCATGTTGTTCATGGGTCGCATGCCTTGGGGAGACTGCCCAGACTGCTGACTTTGTTGATTCTTTGCTTGTACCTGGGGTTGTGGTGGAATCTGGTTTACTTGATAGGGTAGTCCAAGTGCAGCATAGGCCCGCTCTATAGAGCTGGGATCAATCTGACTAACAGTGCTTAGGCTAGGGGTAGACTGTTGACCCACTCCTAGAGAGCTAGGGTTTCCAAGCCCAACTGGTGCTCCAGAAAGAATTGCTAGAAAAGACAAAAGACACAGTATCAGAATACTATCATTGGTAAGAAAAAGAGACTAAAATGCTTAATGAATTTTTTTAAAGTTTCAATTACTGAAGGATCTTAGAATCATAGACCATGTCTCCAACTGGTCTTTTGAAAAATTTTCTAGATACATGCTTTATATGTGCTAAATGCTTAGAATGATGTGGTAGCTGTACTTTTTAAATGCAGTATGTTTACTTATTACTTTTCTCTGAGAACGATCTCATTATCTTCATCTCATAATTTTTTATTTTATAAAATAAAAATTCACACATGCACACAAAGAACATAGCTTTAAAAAGGAGGTGGTGCATGCCTTTAATCCCAGAACGTAGGAGGCTGAGGCAAGCAGATCTCTGGGAGTTCCAAGCCAGCCTGGTATACAAGAGCTAGTTCCAGAATAACCAGAGCTATTACACAGAAAACAAAACCTGTCTTTAAAAAACAAAAAAGTTCAACCTTTTTTGTTATTTAAGTTCAAATGATCTACTTGGCCGCAAGTATGTAATAAGCTGTTCAATGCCAAAACAATGATAATTCAATTTCGAAGATTTTAAAGTCAAGACTAAGTTGTACATGATGGTACACAATTGTAATCCCAGCACTCAGAAGGCTAAGGCAAAAAGACAGCAAGTTCAAGGCAGCGTAGGCTACATAGTTAATAAGACTCTCTCAAAGAGAGGCAAGAAAATACACATTCACCTACTGATGTTTTTAAAGATAAGGCGCACTGAGTTATGTTTTTATTAATTTATAGAGGAAAAACTTTTTATTCGGTATTGCATTAAAGGACCAGTTTGGTCACTAGTCTCACATATCAAGCAGTATCTTAACTCTATCAAACGGTACTAGTGTACTTCTCAAGCTTGGTTATAAATCAGCAAGATTCAAACACTTACACTGTTGATTTCGCTTATCCCCAGCATTTTTGAGAGGAAGACACACAGGACAATCATGCCTTGTACAATTCTTCCAGTGTGAAATGATTTGTCGAGAAGATGCACAATGTGCCACTAAAACCAAAAAAGAGAGAGAGAATTTCACGTTTTCTTTACAGGAATAAGTCAACTAATTAAAAGTTGCTCCAGATGTGGTACCCCTCCTAAATAAAGATATTCCAAGCTATAGCACAAAAAAAAAAAAAAAACACACACACACACCCATAAAAGTGCTGCTACACATAAAACTATTGGGTAATGTTACACATAAAACTATTAGGTAAAACTGTTATTGTGTTAGGTATTTGCCCACACAAAGCCTTCAACAGTACTACCCGAGCAGTGCTATGCTAGAACAAATCAACTACCAAATATCACAGAATAGAAACTTTTACGAAAACAAGCTTCACAGGGAACACTTCTGCATTACTGGTGGGAATGCAAGCTGGTAGAACCCCTTTGGATGTCAGTGTGGTGGTTTCTCAGAAAATTAGGAAACAACCTTCCTCAAGACCTGAGTAAATTGGGAGCATGGGGACCTTGGGGGAGTTTGATTAAGGGAGGGGAGAGGCAGGGAGGAGAGCAGAGAAAAATGTAGAGCTCAATAAATATCAATAAAAAAAAATTGAGACCACCTAGAAAATAAGGAGAACCATATTTCAAGAGACAGGAAAAAAACCTATAAATAATGATGTCATTCATATAAAATACTAAAAATAGAACGTGACAAAGTATTCGGTCAGTAAGTGATCCCTAAAACTGTTAGTCTGTCTTTGCCTAAGGACAATTATATCTCTTAAATATTAACCTTAAGAAATATGTCTTGCCTTGGTTTATTGTGTAATTAGAAACAATATCCTTGACGCTGAATTTTAGACATCATGTGCTACTTTAGAAGAGTCATGTGAGACTTTGTAAATAAACATTTAATTGAAAAAAAAAAAACTTTTACAATTTCCCATCCTATCATATCCTACTCACTTAAAATCTTTTTGTTGTTACACACCAATTATCTTCATCATTTCCACAAGCGAATACAAGATTCTTTCACCAAACTGGGTAAATTGTATTTCATCCAGACAATAACTTTTTAAAGGTATTATGACAGGCAAATGAGGAATGTTCAAATTGTAAAGTGAGTCAATGGCTTTCTGTGCAAGCATGAAGATCAGAGTTCAGACCTCTAGTGCTCAAATTGTCAATCATATTAACCCTAATGTTTGAGAGCTGATGACAATGAATCCCCAGAACAACCTAGCTGATACCTAGATCAGCCTAATCAGCAACTTCTGGCAAATTCAGGGGTAGAAACATGGCTCGGCAATAGAGTGCTTGTCTAACATGCTTATGGTCCAGGGTTTAATCGCCAGGAAGAGCATAAATAAGCAAATGTACACCAAGAAGCTGTGATTTTATTGGTCTGGGATGCACCTGGAATATGAAGTTGATTTGTTTATGAAGGAAGGGAAGCAAATTCATGTATTTGATGAAAGAATATGTGTATAACCATAATGACATCACCCTAAGGCTACTCACCTTGACAGGACTTGCCTGACTGACAGTGTGTCATGTGGTTTAAAACATTTTTCATGGTTCGACAATGGGGAAGATTGCACTGCCTCACTTCCCCATTGGCCTGCTCCCGGCGCTGGCACTTGTGAGCATGTAAAAGGAGAACAAGCTGCTGCTGGATGAGCTTGCGCTTCTCTGGATCAGCTGTGTGTGCACCAGAACCCATCCCAGGGGCAACTGAAGTCACCAGGCCTGGCTGCTGGGCTGATGAGGGTGGCTGCTGACCCTAAAAGAAATGACAAAGATTTGTGTTCTATCTTTTAATAAGGACTAGATATTTTCAAATTAAACCCTTCTTAGTTATGCCAGGCTTCATTTTTTAATTTGGATGGAAACAATTCAATAAATACATGATAACCCCTATTATCAGAATGCTTAATGCAGTAAAAATAATTACAACAACTCGCAGTAATAGTCAAAGTATGTATAAAAAACAGAGAACTAAACAAATATGAAGAACAGGTAAACTACACATTCTCGGTACTGGAAACCCACAGGGTGAGAGCCAGAATTCAAGGCCAGTCTTTGCTACACAGCAAGTTTGAAGCCAGCCTATAACCAGACCCTGCCTCAAAAAACACATAGGGGCTTGAGAGATGCTTTAAAGCTTGCTCTTCAAGAGACCCAAATTCAATTCATAGTCACATGTCCAGAACTCACTAACACCTTTAACTCCAATTCTAAAAAAATCAAGACCCTCTTCTAGATTACTTGGGCACTCCCATGAAAACAGGACACATCCATATACACATTAAAAAAAAAAAATCCTAAAAAAAGAAAAGGAAAAAAAAAAAAAAACAAGAA